GAGCCAAAGGCAGTCGCTTAACCAACTGAGCCACCCAGGCGCCCTAGTCTTGAATTTTGTAAGAGGAAACTGACTTTAGTCGGTTTTCTTTTCTACGCGTGATAAAAAATGAAACCATGGGAAAGAAATCCCTAAAATATTTTTCCTGAGACTTTCTATTTTGGTCATTTATTTCAAGGATATTTGTAATTGCTTGTTGAAGCCTGTTTTGCTTTGTTTTAATGATGACGGTCCGGCATCTGTGTCATGTTAGTGTTTGTTGATTGCCTTTTTTCATTTGAGATTTTTCTGGTTCTTGGTGTGATGCAAGATTTGTTATTCTATCTAAGACATCTTGGGTATTATGTTATGACCTCAGAGCTTATTTAAGCCTTGGGTTTTAGCAGTAGGGGGAGGCACTATTGCCACATTCATGCAACAGGTAAAGATCCACATTCCTCACTTTGCAGTGGTTTCAGGGTGCTTCTTACTAATGGCTAGAGGTGAGATTTCAGGCTCCCCTCTAGGCCTCCGCTGACACATCCCTGTATGTGAGGAGGAAGGGCCACCTTGGTACTGCTCCCTGCTTGGCTTCCACTGACACCACAGTTGACGGGGGTACTTGTTACCACTGGGCTGGGACTAGTTTCCACCTCTGTCTTCTCTGATACCCCCCAGTGTGTTGGGCGATGGGGTGAGGAACGAGGGCACCTCATTACAGCCAGCTGAGGGTGGACACCTGCGCTCCCTCCTCAGCCTATGGAGGAGGGATGGGGCTGCAACTTGTTTCCTTATGTTTGGCCAGAGTAGGGTACTTGCTGGTTTTGATTAGAGAGAGCAGGCTTTTCTTGGAGCTTGTTTTTGTCTACTCCTTTTGGTGTTTCTGGGTTGCCAGCTTCTCTAGCACCTAGTCCAGGATCTGTGATGCAAAAATAAAACCCAGGAAACACTACTTTATATTTCCTCACATCCCGAGGTCCCTAGTCGTTTGCATTCTTCTTTCTACCTTTCAGTGTTTATTTTGTGTATCATGCTCAGGGTTTTTTAGCTGTACTTAGCAGGAGGAATAGAGAGAAGTGATGTACTCTCTTTAAAAATAACTTTTTATGATACAACTTTAATTAATATTCCTAGCAATTTACATCAGACAGAAAGTTTTCTAACCATTATAACAGAATTCCTTTGCGAGGCACCTGGGTGGCTCAGTTGTTAAGCGTCTGCCTTCGGCTTGGGTCATGATCCCAGGGTCCTGGGATCGAGTCCCACATCGGGCTCCCTGCTCCGCGGGAAGCTTGCTTCTCCCTCTCCCACTCCGCCTGCTTGTGTTCCCTCTCTCACTGTGTCTCTCTCTGTCAAATAAATAAATAAAATCTTTAAAAAAAAAAAGAATTCCTTTGCTGTGAATATTTTACAGCCTTATTAAAACAAAATGGGTGTTTTTTACAAGAAAATATTAAAATGATACTGTAGATGTGAATGTATTGACATGAAAAGAGATTCACAATATATGTGAAAAACAGGTTTAAAATAATGTTTTATATAACCTATGCAAGGGTAGGGTGTGTAAAAAATACATGTGCACAGAGGAAGATTTGGAATGATATAAAGGGATATGTCTTTGGGGAGATAGAATTTTGAGTGTATATTTTCTGCTTTTTGCTCCTTGAGCCTTTTAATTCTCTTGTAAGAAACAATGATTTTGTAATAACAAAAAACAAGCTTTACATTCATTTACAGTGTATAAAAATATATTTCCACAGGATTTTTTTCTCATTGAGGTATAATTTTTTTGTTTTCAGAATTTCTAATCAACTTAAGTATCTGTGATCATTATATTTAATATAGTTAATATTTTATAGGTTCCTCTACCTGGCATGAAGTGGGTAGATAATCACAAAGGTGTTTTTAATGTTGAAGTTGTTGCTGTTTCATCTATCCATACACAAGTAAGTGAGTTTTAATAATTTTTATGATCAGTTTTCACTTGAATGAATGAACATACTGTCTAGTACTTAAATCAGTTTCATTATCTGCTGTAACTTAGGGGATTATATATCAGAAATGTATAAATTTAGAAGTTACTTTTTAAAGGAATCAACCAAAGCCTTTTAATATCCACACAAGCAAACTTTTTGCTCTTCAAAGTGTCATCGATTTCATTTTCAACAATTCATTGACTTTTTTTTTTTTTTGTAAGTTTCTGGTACATTGCAGAATTAGAGTTGAAAACCGTCATCCAATCTGTTTTATTCCTCTTAGACTCAGATATTTCAAATGGTGAGAGTTTGATCATTTGCTCTGTATTCTTCGCTGTTTATCTGGAATATGCCAGGCTCTCCTCAAAGCCTGTATATTTACTCTTTCTCTAGCTGGAATACTTTCCTCCTGACATGCACTTCTTTTCAGTAAGACTTCTGCATACCTCAGGCCTTTCCTGGGGACTTTTTAAAAAAAATTTATTTGAGAGAAAGAGTGAGTGAGTGCACAAGCATGCAGAGGGAAAAGGAGAAGCAGACTCCCTGCTGAGCAGGGAGCCTAACATGGGGCACCATCCCAGGACCCTGAGATCATGACCTGAGCCGAAGTTAGATGCTTAACCGACTGAGCCACCGAGGTGCCCCTTTCCTGGAGATTCTTAAGCATAGCAGCCCCATTACTCTATCATCTTACCCTGCAGTTGCTACTGCTTCTAGCTCTTACCTGTACTCTCTTGCACTTTTGCTTTCTCTCATTCTGTGTGTGTAATATGTGTGTATGTATGCATATGTACATATGCATTTATTTATTGGTTCTTTCCCCATTAGACTGTAAGCTCTATGTAGTCAGGGATGTTGTTACCTGTCAAGGAAAGAAACTTCCCTTCAAAGACCTTACAGTGTAATAGGGGAAAGTGTAAAAATAATAGCAGTACAGTAAAGTTAGTACTGTGTTAAATGTATGAATGAAATCCTTTCAAGAGTAGAGAGTTGTCTGTTCTGCTGGGAATTGAGATGTTGTATTGATAAGTAGGCATTTACCATACAGAGAGAGGGTGGGCAATTCAGATGATAAAAAGCAAGTGCAAAGGGATAGTAGTCTAAGAACGGGCAAGTAATCTGGTGTGAATGTAATTTATAGTGCCTGGGGAAATTGTGATAGATGAGAAAAAAAGACCAGGCTGTTAACAGATTATGAAGGACCTTGAATGCCATAGAGTTTAGAGTCTAGGTGGATGGTGATTTCTAACCTAAAGAAAGATGAGAGAAGTAAATTTGGTTGCATGCTAAGAGAGATTAGGGAGATGATTCTGGAGTTATAGTGAGTTTATTTTTGAGCCTGTTGAGTTTGAAGTGCCTATGTACTTCAGATAAAAATATCCCAAGGCAGTTGTAATTAATTTCAAGTTTAACATTGAAGGTGGCAGAATAAATGTGATAGCTGAAACTATATTGGTTGAGTAATTATCCAGGGAGAAAATGTAGAGTGAGAAGAGGCAAGTGTTTAAAATGGAGTCCAACTTGAAAAGGGAAGGGTTGGTATATGGGGATTTCCAAGGCCACCCTCAAGTTCAAGGATTTTCTAGCAGAACTCAGAGGACCCATCATACAGTCATATTCACAGCAATGATTTATTTTAGTGAAAGATAAAATAAAATCACCTAAGGGAAAAGAGGTCAAGTCCACAGGAAAGAAAGCACAAGCTTCCAAGATCCTCTCCTAGTGGAGTCACATAGGGTGAGTGGAAGCAGCATGTGTGAGATATTGTCTACCAGGGGAGGCTCATTCATTAGAGACTTAGTTCCCAGGATTTTTAGTATAGGGTGTAACATAGGCACCCTTTGCCTATCACATACCAAAATTCTTGAGTCCCAGAAGGAAAGCACGTTTTCAGCATAAACCATACTGTTTGCACAAACAATTTAGGTGTAGTAAGTCATCCCCTATCAGGTGGAACTCTCTTGAAATCCAGATTCCCATCTGGCCTTCCAAATGATAGCAATCTTAAGCTTGCTATGTTAACTCTTTTCTGCAGTGAAGTAGGGAAAAATAAGAAGACAGAGCACCTCTCTGTTATGTTTTAGAACAACAGCAACAAAAGGTAGTAGATAGGTTTTAGCATTATACAGGTAGATCCCAGTAAAAGAATGGCTCCAGCAGCATTTTTCCTTTTCTGGTACTGGATATGTTCTGTTTCCTATAGTCTTTACTCTTTTGATAATGATAAGATTGATGTTACAGTATACTGTTGAAATGTATTCTTTCCCTTAATAGTATCATATCTTCTTATAAAAATACATTATTCTTCATGTTTTTTTATTCCTATAGTCATTATTAGTTTTCTCTTTTTAGAGTTGGTAGTATAAGTTATCTTTTACTCCTAACTTCGTTTTTATAGAGGCAGATACACGTGTTATCTTTATGTGACAAAGAAGGATTGGGGCAAAATATATAGATGATTTAGAATCTATAGAATGTAGGAGAAGATAAAGTGGAAGTATCTACTTTGTAGTAATCTGGCTTTCACAGTCCTGATGAGTAATACTCAAGATTTTATAAATTTTTGCCACTATGTAAAACAATTTCATCATGTATTATCTTCTTAAAAGGATCAAACACAATAATGTTTCTTATGTTTTATACTTTGCCTGTAGCTCTTTGAAATTTACTGGATCTATAGTTAGAACTCAAGAATTTTTTATTCATTTAAATTCTACATATCAAATTAGAACAATATTAGAACTATAAATGTGAATGAAGCTGTTCGGCATTATTGTCTTAAAGTTTATTTTCACTATTAACTAAGTAAAAGTCTTCCCAGAGTTCCAGTAGACTTCTGTTCACATCTCACTGGTCAGCGCTATACACACAGTCATCACTACACACATCTCATCAGTAGGCATAAAGCAAGCTGGGGGAGCAAGCATCTGCCCTGGGACTGGGCACAGAATTGCTTTAAATAAGACTGTGGTTCTGCTGGTATAGAAGGAGGTTAAATAATAGCAGTCAGGATTTAGTCAGGAGATGGAAATTGCCAGTAATTCGAATGGAGACAATTTATATCCAAATAATTGTTAACTGGGTTAAAGGTGATTCACTACTAAATGGGGTAAAAGAAAATTCTGTGATTGTAACAGAGATAGCAGTTGCAGAAACTGATAAGAAAGGAACTTAGAAACCTAGAGGAGGATCCTGAGGGCTAAGACTCAGACCTCCGAGGAGAGGACACCGCTGCTTCGGGCACACGTTGCCTGCCATACCAGGGTGTGGAGGGCACCTGCTCGGGGACAGGAGCCACCATTGCTGGTGTGAACACTGCTGCCATGTCCCTCACCTCTGAAATTCCAGCATTCACATCTGCTAGCTGCCATCGGGAAAGCAAATAGGAAGAAGGAAGGCTGTTTCTTGTACCCTCTGTGGTCAGAGCCCAACCACAGGCCAGCTGACAAAGGAGAAATGCAATTTGAAGAGTCCAGCTCCAGTATTACGAATTGTGGCAAGATGGTGGGTTTGGATGGAGCTGAGAGGTAATAAACTAATAATGGGCACAGACCTTGTACTGATAGACCTGCACAATCATTAAGTTCTAAAACAATAAGATGGACTCACACTGGGGGGAGAAAAATCCTTAATTAGTATCAATAGAATTCTGACTAATTAATAGTGTTCAAAATGGCCACTTTACAATAATAAATGAGAATAGATCTAGTTTTAATTGGAAACAATATATATAATTGTGTACTTTTTTGTATTACTAATTTATACGAACTATTTTATATTATATAAAATATATTTATATGGTCCAAAGTTTCGGGAATTTACAGTTATAATTGGATAGTGATTTTGTTTATTCTTTGTTTTAGGATCCTTATCTCGACAAATTTTTTGCTCTGGTCAATGCTCTGGATGAACACATGTTCCCAGTCCGAATTGGAGACATGCGTATAATGGAAAATAACTTAGAAAATGAATTGAAGAGCAGTATTTCAGCATTGAATTCATCTCAGTTAGAACCAGTGGTCCGATTTCTTCATCTTCTGCTTGATAAACTGATACTTTTAGTTGTTAGACCTCCTGTTATTGCTGGCCAAATAGGTAATTTTTACTTACGTTTGGGGAATTAGGAAATTTGTAACTTGGCATTTCTAGCTTTTGCAGAAATAGAGTCATGATTTACTATGTGTTATCTATAAGGACTGTGTTTGATTTTGGGGAGGAGAAGGTGGGGGTATTTACTTGTTTCTGATGCCAGAAAATAACTTCCTTTTTTTTGTTTTTATAAAATGTGCCATATAGACTTCAACTCAGATTATGGAAACAAATTCATTTATCCACTCACCAAATATTGATTAAGGTCTTACTATGTGCTAGACACCAATAGGCTCTGTCCAAGGCTTAGTTCCTGATTTTAAGGATCTCACAGAATATTTTGGAAAACAGGCAAACAGATAAATCATTTTGCTTTTTACATGATGCGTGATTTACCTAGCCTACATTTTTACTCATCTGCTATCCTCTATTTAAAATAGCTGTTCTTGGGGCGCCTGGGTGGCTCAGTCGTTAAGCATCTGCCTTCGGCTCAGGTCATGGTCCCGGGGTCCTGGGGTCGAGCCCCACATCGGGCTCCCTGCTCAGCGGGAAGCCTGCTTCTCCCTCTCCCACTCCCCCTGCTTGTGTTCCCTCTCTCGCTGTGTCTCTCTCTGTCAAATAAATAAATAAAATCTTTAAAAAAATAAAATAGCTGTTCTTTTCTTCATTAACTCAGAATCTCTATATTCTCATTTTCTTCTGTGTTATTCTGGAATTAGAGGTAGTCCTGTTTCCTGTGTTAAATGGTTGCACAAAGGAGAGGAGTGTTCAGCTCCTTGGAATTTTATCATATTTTATTCTTATTATATTTTTATTTTTTAAATTATTTTTTTATTATTATGTTCAATTAGCCAGCATATAGTACCTCGTTAGTTTTTGATGTAGTGTTCAATGATTCATTAGTTGTGTATAGCACCCAGTGCTCATCACAACATGTGCCCTTCTTAATACCCATCACCCAGCTACCCCATCCCCCCACCGCCTCCCTTCTGTAACCCTCAGTTTGGTTCCTGGAGTCTAGAGTCTCTCCTGGTTTATCTCCCTCTCTGATTTCTCCCCCTTCAGTTTTCCCTCCCTTCCCCTATGATCCTCCACACTATTGCTTATGTTCCACATATGAGTGAAGCCATGTGAGAATTGTCTTTCTCTGCTTTAAGGGAGACTTGTTAGTAGAGGTGATTCTTGGGTCAAATATTTAAACTTGAGTAGGAGTCTGACAGGCAAATAACTAGTCCAGGGAGATTAAATAGTATGTGCATGGTATACAGACAGATAAATGAACTGGGAAATTTGGGGGGAATTATAAGTAGTCATAAATTGGAGGGTTGGTGATTAATGATGATATTGGAGATGAGGGAGATGAAATGGGATCTTCCATGATCCTTTAGGGAATTGGGACTATTACTCTTTAAGGAATCAATAGTTTTTGAAGGGTCTGGTCTTAATTAGGGAAGTAATGTGACCCAGTTTGGCTTTTATAAAGATGAGTGTGCTATGTGGAGATGGGTTGAAAGTGGGAAAATCTGGAAGCAAAGAGGGAAATTAGGAATCTTACAGAATTTCATACAATAAACTATGAGGTCCTGCCAAAACAGGAGGTGACAGTGAGTTGGAGAAGAGGGGTGGATTAAGAAATATTGAAGAGCTATTGTACAGAGTACTGTCACAGGAGTCCTAGGAGAAGGTTTTAAGAAAAAAATTTAGCACCGTTCATTTTTGTAGATTATGTAAGTAAAATAATAATGCAATAGTAGCAGACATTTGCACAGCACTTAATATATGCCAGCAACTGCTATGTGCTTTATTTATATTAATGGATGAAATGCTCACAACTCTATGTGTAGATAATATTACCACTGTTTTACAAGTAAGTAGAGTGATGAACACTCTACTTGAAAATTTGCCTAAGGATTCAGACCCAAGCAACTGACTCTAGAGTCCCAGTCTTATCTACTAAAGAGGTGTCCACTCGTGAAATTAACAAGAGTTTTAGTCAAACAGTGAAAGTAGAAACCAGATTACAGAGAATTAAGTAGCGCATTATACATGATGAGAGGAATACAAAACGTATACACTCTTTTTCAAAGAAATTTGGTTAGAAGAGGAGGCAGGGTTGATTATGGCATAAGAATGGAATCATTTGAGCATGTTTATGTGCCTAGAGTAACTAGTGGAGGGGGGAGAAAAATATAAGAGGTGCTAAAAGGTTTAATTAATGGAGCAAGCCTGTGGGACAAAAGTCAAGTGATCATTGTTTATTATAGGAGAGGAGCACTGCTTCCTTTAGAAGGGAAATAAAAATGATTTCAGATTTGGATAAATTTGTAGTAAAAAGTTGAGGACTTTAATACTATAAATTTCTACTGTGAGATAAAAAGCAAAATTTCCTGAGAAGGGAATAAAGTGAATCTGAGTTTTGAGAAGGATTCTGATGGTTTGGAATAGCTACTATGAGGAAAAGGAAAAGGAATTAAGCAGGAACCATTTATCGGATTATTCCAGTTTTAGGAAAGTTTAATTGGCCTCATTTCTGTTCATAATTTCCTGTCTTGATTAAATAAATCATAGGGGCACCTGGGTGGCTCAGTCGCTGGGCATCTGCTCAGGTCATGGTCCCGGGGTCCTGGGATCGAGCCCCACATCAGGCTCCCAGCTGGGCGGGAGGCCTGCTTCTCCCTCTCCCATTCCCCCCTGCTTGTGTTCCCTCTCTCGCTGTGTCTCTCTCTGTCAAATAAAGAAAATCTTTAAAAAAAAGAATAAATAAATCATAGACTCTGAGACTTAATCACCCAGAATGGCTGTTTGTTTTACCCATTTATTTAGTGTGCTACCAGAATTTCCCAACTTTTGCAAAATTTTCATTACACACTCACTTGAATGACTGGGTAGGTATTGCTAGCCTGGCATTTAAAATGCTGTGCCGTCTTACCTCAGCCTGTTCCTCTAGGCGCCTAATCCTTTTACCGATTCACTCATGTCAGTCACGGTGCTTATTCACTATCCTCTTTTCTTAGTATTTTAAGTTGATATTTTTAATAATCTACTTTCATTGTTAATATTTTTTAAACAAGAATAACATGCTCATTGTATATTACTTAGGTTTTCAGAGTCCTCTTTTAAACAAGAAGTGACTTTTCAAAGGTGATACACAAGATAGGTTTTTTTTTTTCTTATGTGCTTTGTATTGTTTTACAAAATAATGGGTACCTGTTGGGTGATGTTTTGTTTTTTGACTGAGCAAACCCATATAGTTTTCATTAGTAAAATAAGTGTTTTAAAATTTTGTTTAGAAAAGTAATTTTGATTCAGCTAATACAGCATTAAAATTAACATCAAATATCATCTTTATACACTTACTGTGCATAATCACTATACTTAACACATGTAGAGATGATAAAACCTTGATCTTTTTGGAATTTGCAGTTTAAAAAAATTAATGCAAAAATGTGTTCCTTCTTCTTAAAAGTTAATCTAGGTCAAGCATCTTTTGAAGCCATGGCATCAATTATAAATCGGCTCCACAAAAACTTGGAAGGAAATCATGACCAGCATGGCAGGAACAGCCTTCTCGCATCGTACATCTATTATGTTTTTCGCCTACCGCATACTTACTCTAATTCACCATCACCAGGTACGTTATTCCTTTTCCTTTGAAATTCTCTTGTATGTTCGTGGCGAAATTGAAATAATCTCGTTGTCCTAGTGGGATGCATTCATTAAACAGCAAGCATTTATTGAGTGCTTGCTGAGGGGCATGGAATATGCTAGGTGCTGGAGTTAAAAGGATAATTAGGTTACATCTCCAGGCATCATTGTTTATGCAGCTTCCTTTAATTTGAATTAGGGCTTGGTTGAATTAATTCTTGGAAAGAAACCTTATAAGTTCTGTGTCTTTGGAAGCATTTTACTGTAAGATAAATAGAATGTTATATTTGTTGTTTGGAATGTTGGACATTAAAGAAGAAATAGGATGGCTTAGTTCCCTGATAACTTTGTGAAACCTACAACAATATAAAAGATTGTTCTCTAGAAAAGTCCTGATCTCTTCATGGTCAATAAGATAATATAGCCTTTGTGAATATCAGGGCCCAAAGTGGTTACTTGGCTTTGGATGACATTGGTGGTAGTGTGGTGATGCGGTGGGGGGATGTCTTAGTCTGAATAACTCTTTAGGTGTTAGTTAGTTAATGGTTTTGTTGTGCGTACCTTTCAACCTGCCCACATATTTGTTTGAGTCATCATTCATCACTAATGATGATGGTGAGTGCCCTTTTCCAGCTCTTGGCAACGTTAACATTAATAATGGTGATAAATACATATGACATTCATTATGAAAACTAGACATGATAGTAATCCGACTCTAAGTTTTAGCATATTTTATTTCTTAATTGCAAAAAGAGCAGTAATTGACTCATATTCTGGGTTGTAATTTCCTATCTCGATTTTAAAAATTATAGTACTTCAGGCTCTGAAAGTATATTGTGGACTATATATAATGCTTCTCCATTTTACCTTTCATCCAGTATACTATTGTAATTCCACAGATTTTGCACAACATCTTTTTTACATGCTGACCTGACAGTTGCGTGTCATTTGCAAATATGAAAGGTTTCTTTAAGAAAATGGAGATAAATTATGGATACAGTTGCTGGGTATTTTTATATTCATAGAATATGGTTGAATGATGGTTGAACATAGTTGATTTTAGACAGAGGAATTCTTGCTTTTATAACTTGGGCTCTTAGAAGTATCTTGATTATACATATATATGTATATCGTAAGGATGCCATTTTGTTATAGTTCAGATTTCAGAACTATAAGATTTCAGAAACAAAACACAATCTCATTTAAGAGATGTTGACAGTAAATTGGTTGTCCTTCCAGTGACTATATATCCAGGACAGAGTAGGAGGGGTGGGAGAAAGGAAGAGTCATCAGCTGAAGCATTTTGGGTCCTAGATACTCCTATCTAAAGTGAAAATAATGTGTGTGTGTATTTTCTATCTCGTTTTTTTATCGTACATTTAATATATAATCGGAAACATTGACAAGATAATGACTTTATTTGCATGTGGTTTTGTCAACTGCTGTAAAATAGAATATCTTGGTGTAGCTATCAGTAAGTTTTAAGTGTTTTTTTACTTAGTATTTTTCATTTAGAAATAAATAATTCCTCATTTTTATGGAATTTTGTAAAGTGGCAGAGATTTTTTTCAGATCCTTTCTTGACTTAATTTTTTTTTGTTTAATTATGTGCTATTTTATATATAACTCTAGGTCCTGGGGGTTTGGGAGGATCAGTGCATTATGCCACAATGGCTAGATCTGCTGTGAGACCTGCAAGCCTTAATTTAAATCGTTCTCGGAGCCTTAGTAATAGTAACCCAGATATATCTGGGACTCCCACGTCACCAGATGATGAAGTACGGTCAATCATCGGCAGTAAGGTAAACTGAAGATACTCGTCTGTACATTTGATTTTCAGTTTATGAACAAATGAGAAATGTCCAGTTTTATTTTATTCTTAATTTAAAAATGTATTTGAGTTAGTAACAGGCAAGACATTGTACCTTTCTATCTATCCGTCTACACTAAGTGTCTCATATTTCTATTAAATAAGCTTGCTGTTACAAACTGGTTTGTGCATTCTGCTCAAGAAAATCGCCAAATTCAGAAATTTGTCCAGGATTACCAGTCCATATAACATTTTTGTCTGTGTGGTACTCCATCCTGTGAAAAATGACTAGATTAATTTCCTATAGAGTTAAAAGAGACCTATCTGACTGCTTTGTAGAAGGGACATCACATCATTAATTTAAAATGTGAACCTCCATCCTTTCTCTGAAAAATATCAAGACCATTGATTAGCCTTGATTGGTAGTAGAGCTGCCTTTCACTGGAAAACTCTATATAATATAAAGATGCACCAGAGCTCGAAAAATATGATTTATTTAATGATGGTTAATGATTATTCCACATAACAAGTGAGAGGCCAGCTAGTATGAGATCCAACTATATTTTTTAACAGCATCTTTATTAACCCCCTCAAAAAAGGGAATAGTTAGTACCTTTTTATAGGTCAGGTACAAAAATAATTACGAGTTTAAACAAAGTGGAAAAAAAAACAGTAAGACTAAGGCCAGTAAATAGTGTTATGTTGTGTTTTGACCAAACCATTTCAAAAGTAGTTTTTTGCCATTTGAAAGGAGGAAGATACCATTGTTGTGGAATCACAGCCAGCTTTGCTTTGGCACTTTTAGTCTATTAACTAGGATCTGAGGAAGAATTAATAAATGTGTTCTAGCGTCTGTGTTGAACCCTTAGCCTGAACTATAATAGATTTTTTTTTTTTAAACAATCTGGGTTTGTTATGTGAACTTGAACGTTGATCAAAAACATCAGAACTACTCATACCTGTTCATATAGTTAAAGAAATTTTACATTCAGAAGCTTCTAATGAACTTAAGCATTGCTCTTTTAAAGTAACTTAAGTAATTTTTAAAGTAATTGCTCATAGATCAAAATATATTTTGTAGTCTTATATTTTAAATAATAAACATGAATTTCAGTAACTTACAGATCCATACAGACCTTACTCTAATTAAACAACTTTCACTTTTTGTGAACTCCCTGAGAGAGTGATGTGCAGATGCATCTTCATGGGCTTGTGCAAAGTAACCTGAGTAATACAGCAATTGCAAAAGGGAAGGCTCCTATGCGCCCCCCCCAATATATTTCCATCTTTAGGAAAAGAACTCAGGTTTTTTTTATCCTTGTATTCATTCTCGATTGTATCTCATTATAATGGAGGTAGTACTTAGCATTATTTATATACTGTAAATATAGTTCTTCTGTAGAATGAATCTGATTTGTGAATTAATAAGAAATTTTCCTGTTGAAGAGCTACAGAGATGAAAAAGATACCATTGTCCTCAAGGTTCTACTTTTAAAATGCCTCTTAATTTCTCTAAGACTTGCATTATGTTTCATCTAGAATAAGTCTAGAGTTTTCCTTTTTATGATGTATTTGACAGATTATAACATCAGGATTTAGAACAAAGGTCTGCATATATTGGAATGATTATTTGCCTTTTTTCAAGTAGTTCGTAAAATGAGACATAATGATGACATAAACTTCTGATGATATGTATTGTAGATATCTGAGAAAGCCATCATAAGATGAGAATTTTTCTTATGACAACACAGCCTCTTCCTAATCAAGTTTTATTTAAATGGATTTCATGTTTCCTCTTGGAAATTTTTTTTTTTAAAGATCTTATTTATTTATTTGACAGAGAGGGAACACAAGCAGGGGCAGTGAGAGAGGGAGAAGCAGGCTTCCCGTCCAGCAGGGAGCCTGATGCGGGGCTCAATCCCAGGACCCTGAGATCATGACCTGAGCTGAAGGCAGACGCTTAACGACTGAGCCACCCAGGCACCCCCCTCTTGGAAAATTTTTGATAGTTACTTCATTTTGGAATATCATTTAGTCATAATCACTAATAATGGTGTAAAATTTTATCTCATTAAAATTATAAGGAATTTGAAGTTTATTTATAGCTACTGTTCATTTATTCTGACTTCATTGGCCTGGAAATTAAAGAAACTTTTTTTTTTTTTGGTGAGAGAGAGAGAGGGAGCAGGAACAGGAGGGAGGGGCACAGGGAGAGGAAGAAGCAGACAACCTGCTGAGCGGAGAGCCTGACACGGGACTACATCCCAGGACCCTGAGATCATGATCTGTGCTGAAACCAAGAGTCAGGTGCTTAACTGACTGAGCCACCCAGGCACCCGAAAAAACTCTTTTTTTTTTTTTTTTTATGGTTTAGTCTTTCCCCTGCCTCAGCCGTGGTCATACCGTAGATGTTATTACTAATAACTTTAACCCTCATAATCTCAATTTCATGAATTGTATCTCTATTAGCTCAGGTTTTTCTCCCTAGTACCCCAACTCCTAACACTGCTCTGCAACCTCCCATCACTTGATCTGATGACCTTTTACTGTGTCTCAGTCCTTAATGTTATTCCAACTTAGCTAGCTTAAATTGCATGACCAATCATTTTTTTAAAAAGATTTATTTATTTATTTTACAGAGAGAGAGAACGCATGAGTGAGGGGAGGGGCAGAGCGGGGGGTGGGGGGAGAGAGAGAGAGAGAATGGCAGAGAAGCAGACTCCCCGCTAAGCGCAGAGCCTGATGCAGGGCTCGATCCCAGGATCCTGGAGAAACCAAGAGTTGGAGGCTTAACCCACTGAGCCACCAGGTGCCCCTCTATGACCAGTCATTATAGTGAACCCTATTATAATCAAACCTCAATGCCTTATCTTTCTCTCATTTCATTTTACTTGCGTAGCCCAATCTCAAGCCATAGTTGAACCCAGTCGTCTGTCTGTGCCATGTCAGCACCTGTGCTGATGAATATGACTTGAGAAATACTGTAATGACTGGTTTCATTTGAAATGAAAAGCCGTGGACCTCAAGAGAGCCCTCAGTGCTGGCAGGCAATTAATTATACTATATTTCTGCATTCCATTCACTTTCCCATTCTCCCAGAAAGATTTCATGCCTTCTTCCCTTACCTGCCCACCAGTTGTCCTTCTCACTTTATCTCCTACTTCACTGAGAAAGTGGAAGCCCTCAAAAGAATAATTTTATAGACTTTTACCACCATATCTACCTACCTACTACCATCTATGACTACCCACTACTTAAAATAATACTCTGCTACAAATGAACTATCCATTTTCATACATCCATTTGTAGACAAGCTCCTGTCTCCTCTCACCTACTCAGGATCCTCACTCTGGCAATTATTTCATCTCTCTACTGCTTCATCAGTTGCCCCTATCTACTAAAACATCCCATCCACATAAAGCATGATATTATTTATCCCCAAATCTCCTCTCTAGTATTTCAGCTGCTAGCTTCCTCACTATTTCTCTGTTACCTTTTGTAGTAGAATTCCTTAAAAGAGTTTCCTATACTAGCTATCTCCAATTCTTTTACTCCCATTCTCCTTACCCTACTTTAATCAGATACCGCTACCATCTTCCATCCAACCTGCCTTTGTTAATGTCACCAACACTCTCCATTTGCTAAATCCAATGGTTAATTCTCAACACTCAGCTTACTTGACCTTACAGCAAATTTGGACATAGTTAAATTCTTTCCTCCTTGGTTTATTCTATTTACTTGCCTTCCAGGGCCCTGCACTCTCTTGTTTTTCCTTTTACTGTTCTGGTTATACCTTTTCAATCTCTTTGGAATTCTTCTTTCCTGATCTCTTAATCTGGAAGTGCTCCAGGCCTCTGTTCTTACTTCTCTCATCTTTTCTCTTTTCTCTCTATACTCACTGGGATGATGTTGATGTTATCAACTCCCATGATTTTAAATACCACTGTATGCTAATGACTCCCAAAATTATATTTCCGAAACAAATCTCCCTCTGAAATTGTAAACTCAATCCTGTGGCCTTTCCTAAATCCTTTTGTTCAGATTTAGATATATGTTAAAGATCAAACCACTGCTGACTACCTCTGCTACTACCATTTGGTCTGAACTACCATCCTGTCTTCCTCAGTTCATGTAATAAACTGGAAGATGGTTTCGCTGCTTCCAACCTACGCTCTCTTCTTTTTTTTTTTTTTTAAGATTTTATTTGTTTATCCGACAGAGAGAGACAGCGAGAGAGGGAACACAAGCTGGGGGAGTGTGAGAGGGAGAAGCAGGCTTCCCGCCGAGCAGGGAGCCCGATGTGGGGACCATGACCTGAGCCCAAGGCAGATGCTCAACCGACTGAGCCACCCAGGTGCCCCCCAACCTATGCTCTCATCACAACATAGCAAGCAGAATGCTGCTTCAAAAGCTTAAGTCACAAAAAACAAAACTTAAGTTAGATTATGTCATTCCAGGGGCACCTGGCTGGCTTAATCAGTAGAGCATGCAACTCTTGAACTTGGGGTTGTGAGTTCAAGCCCCACATTGGAGATAGAGATTACCTTAAAAAAAAACCCAAAAAACTTTAGATTATATCATTCCTCTGAGCAAGATAATCCTATTACTAACTCCTTCACCTCCTTTCTACTCTGACCACCTTATTTAAATGTATAACCTGTATCTTGGGGACTTCTGATCCCCTCATTCTGTTTGTCTCCTAACATTTACTGCCTTTTAATGTAGCATATAAATTAGTTAATTATTTTTCAGTGTTTGTTTACCTTACCTTTATCACAGGTAAGGTGAGCTTCATGAGGTCAGGCATGGTTGTTGAGTGACATATCCTAAGCACCCATAATGGCCAGCATATTGAAGGTGCTTGGTGGATATTCAGTGAGTGAATGTTAGTAAGTATTGCAAGAATAAACTACTCCTTTAGAAGTTATGTTTTTGTTTTCCTTCTTGCTGCCAGGATTAATTATATATTTAATGATCTTAAGAGATTTGGCTTTGTGAAGGTTTTGGCTTCATATTTTATTCTTTAACATAAAATGTAGAACTCCTAAAATTCAGGAATACTTACATCAATAGGATTTTATTACTCTGATGGCTGTAAATTCAGATTTGTGAGACTTTCTTCATAATTATTTTTCCCAAAACTGATCTGTTTGCCCTAGCAGTCTTCTTTTAACATTCAGTTATGTAAATATATGATTATGACAAGTTTGAATTTTATTGCTTTTAATGAAATGCCAGTGCAGTTTTACATGGATATGTAGTTTCTTTGTAATATATCATTTCCTATTTTTAAATGTAACACTGAGATCTTACTGTGTGCTAGGCACTGTGCTGAGGACTTGTGGATACAAAGCCGAAATCTTTGAATTCTTTTTTTTTTTTAAAGATTTTATTTATTTATTTGACAGAGAGAGACACAGCGAGAGAGGGAACACAAGCAGGGGAAGTGGGAGAGGGAGAAGCAGGCTTCCCACTGAGCAGGGAGCCCGATGCGGGGCTCGATCCCAGGACCCTGGGACCATGACCTGAGCCATAAGGCAGATGCTTAACGACTGAGCCACCCAGGCGCCCCCGAAGTCTTTGAATTCTAACAGCAAGTTGATGTCAGGTCAAATAGAATATGAGCCTTGCCCATGGAAGGAGCCTATCTATATTTAAGGGACACAATAATGTTACAAAGATGTGACAAAAACAAAAGCCCTTTCATGCACATGTGCACACATTTGGTTAATCTGTTCTGTTAGTTGGAGATCAGTAAATGTAGTTATGACATTAGTAAATATCATTGATGAATTTGCTTAAGGAAGTTAAGATCTAATTCTTAGCTTTGTAACACTTAAATTATGGCAATTATTTGCTTTACAAAATAATTGGCCATAGGTTTTCTTTAACTAGTTAGCTTTGATTTGATGTAATTATAACTGCTTAGTCTGAATATTGTGGATATAATATACAATGACACAATTAGATTTGTTGTTTATTCTCACATTACTGATTAACATGTGCTTAATTTCAAAGGAAATTAAGGAGGTGAAAAGTGTGTTTAAGAGTACAGGAAGATTATTGGTATTGTGGAAATTTATGGTAGAGAGAAGAGCACAGTTGTAATGTTCTAAAAATCAGATGCTTATGTATTATTTTTGTAACATGAGTAGTCGTTGTAAAAATTGCAAATGGCAGAAAGAACTTCATACGCTGGAGACATAAGTTGGGAGACTTTTAACATCTGAAAAACACTGTTTGCAGATTTGCTTTTATTTGAAATAATATGGGGTTCTGAGAAGGTAAGTATTTTAAACAAATCAGATTACATAATTTTACTAGTATTTGAATATTCTCTCATTACTTTGATAGGAAGCATTTAAAAAAACACAAGTAGGAAGTTTTTGAACTATTTGAACTATTTTTTTTTTTTGAAAGATTTTATCTATTTGCCAGAGAGAGAGAACGTGCACAAGCAAACAAGCAAGCAAGCACAAGTCGGTAGAGGGGCAGAGGGAGACAGAGAAGCAGGCTTCCCACTGAGCAGGGAGCCCGATGTGGGACTTGATTCCAGGACTCTGGGATCATGACCCGAGCCGAAGGCAGACGCCCGACCAACTGAGCCACCCAGGCGCCCCAGAGCTCTTGAGTGTTTACTATATTTGAAGCATTGTATTTAGTAATTTACTTCCACTTTTAAATTTGATCTTTGCAATATGAGGAAGACTATCATTATTCCTATTTTATACTAAGAAGCTGAAAATGAAATTAGATAATTTACCTTAGGTTTTACAGTTAATAAGCAGTAGAACCTGGATTTGAACTTCAACACTCATCTTACACATTCAGTATAAAAAATGAGTGGAAATGGAGGCTTACTGTATCATTCAACCACTCTGTATTTTTGGAAAAATCGGGAAAAAGAAGGAGGGGAATTAGTCTCCCTAAAACCTAAACTCTTGAGAGTTAGTTTGTCTTGCCTCCTTCTCCCTAATCCTCATTCCCTCCTGTAGTATTGATACACTGGCTTCACTCCCAGAGATTCTTATTTGTTTAGAGTTAAGGCCCTGCATATTTATTGTTGTTGACCTTTCCAGGCGAAACACATGTCTATACAGTTGATTATTGTTATTACTACTCTTGTTTTTCCTTTACCTATCCTTTGGTGCTTTCTGGGGTTGGGTCCATAGTTTGTCACCTTGTCTTGGGTTGTCTTCATTCTTCTTTTTTTTTTAAATATGATTTTATTTTATTATTATTTTTTT